TACCCCTCGATCGCCTTCACACTAGAAATGACGGCCAATCTATGCTTTGTTTATTATGCGTTTTAGCGTTCATGATGATTTGATGGGTTGCAATGGAATGGATTTCGACGGTGGTGCTGGTGCTGATGGTTGGTTGGTTGGGGTTGGGGCTCGTTGGTTCCTGGGCTTTACCTGTACAGGATAGTTATAGGAAGGATGGATTGGAGGATGGAATGGGAAATATGATATGATGGGTGGGAGGAAGTCTCAATTGTCAATTTAGCGGACATTTTTGGAAAGCGAGCACGTGAGCAAGCGTTACCATGCACTGGCAGCATCACATCACACAGCGGAATCCTTTTTTCATATTATCATTCGGTATTTGTTTTCCTGGAATAGCCTAGGTATTTAATGTACAGATGGATGAAGAGAAATTCGATATTTGAATCGAATCGAATTAGGTAGCTAGTTAAGTAGGTAGTTAGAAGAGATAGATCGTGATGCAAATCATAATTGCACCACATACACACCCCTCTATTCTATCCATCTGAAATGAATTTGACACTGAAATCGAATGGACAATAAATTCCTTCTGAAAAGAAAAATTGCCAGGTATTCCATCCCATCCCATTCCTTTCCTTGCCTTCCCTCCCCTTTCCAACCCAACCTTCCATCCCCCCTTTCCTCGAATTAGTCGCCTGTGAAGTTCATATGCATCAAAATGCCCAATGAAAAACAAAAAATGCTCGCTCAAATCGCCCAGTCGCTTTTGACTATCGTGCTATGCTATGTAAATGCAATGAAGCCCTCGCAAATGGGCAAAATTAGACAGACGCCTTTGTCATTCGTAAAATTCATAAAGAGAGTCAGGAAATGTAAACAAAAGAAAAAGGGGAAAAAGGGGAAAAATTATTAGGGGTAGGTACTGCCGTTAAAAAGCGCAAAGAACGTCGTGAATTTCGTAGTAGATTAATACAATATCCAATCATCATGTCTGTCGTAAACTCGTAACACATTCGGGTGATGTCAAATTGGTGGTCTTGCTCGGGGTATATTCCTCGTGGGGTTTTATCTGTAGGTCGTTTGTTGTGTGTGCTGTTATGTATGGTGGTTATAGTTGAGGACGAGAGAATTGACTAGAAGATTTCGAGGTCATCGGGCCAGTCTCCAGGTTCTTGGCTTGGTTGTGTGTGTTTTGGTCGGGTCTTGTTTGTGTTGAGCATCTCGCCACTAGGAAGTCGGACATTTTGAGGGATTCTGGGTACAGGAGGGACTCCGTAAAAAGTATGTGGTAGAATGGTTCCTTGGTCAGCACTATCAACCTTAGGTTCGGATTGTGAAGATGGAGCGCTTCTCGTCTTAGTATAGCTGAAAGAATCACCATCAGTATTGTCAGGAGGTGAATCTTTGGGAATCTTGAGTTTTACAAGTATGCTTCTGGGTCTCTCGGTTCCACGGCCAGGAAGAGGTTGTCGGGCTGTTGGCTTATGTGCACCATCAGAAACGACTCTCTTTTCGGGAGAAGATGACCCAGTGTAAGGACTCTTCTCATTGATAAATTTGCGATTTCGGCTACTTCTGACTTTCTTAAGAGGTTTGGCATCAAGATCTGGACCAGATTCGAAATCAGATTCAGATTCGGGTGTAGGTCTTAAAGCTCCGTCTTTCTCGGCGCTCTTCTTCTTCACTGCGCGAGCTTGGTCGGCCTTTGCTTCGAAAGAATGCCCTTCAATAAATGCTTGCTGTGAAAGAATACGTGAAGTTGTAGGCTTGACTTCAACGGCCATCTTGGCACCATTGACTGATCCGCCTCTAACAATCGCTTGGGCATTATGGACATCAGACATTTCACTATCAGACTCAGATTCGATGCTAGATAACACGTACTCTGATCCCTCCTCCGGTGCTGTGATAGGAGGCTGACTTGCTTGTACAGGACGTATCTCGCTCGTCTTGAACAAATCAGTCGGGCGGGTCGAAATATGATCCATGCTGTCTTGCGTAGTAATTGCTGTTCCAATGTTGTAGAAATTCTCATTATCATTGAAATCCGCTCTAGGATTAACGTAACCGCTCAAAAGTCTCTCGGATGGAAGGGTTGCCAAGGCACCGGGTACGAAACGTGCTCTACCAAATCGGTCAGATGAAGGAGGGTGCGATTGCGATGGCTGTTGCTGGTACGACTGCTGATACGATCGCTGTTGTTGGAAATCAGGAGGTTGGTAGATGTGCTCATCAGGAAGTGGTTCTGCGAAAGTATCCGTTAATTGGCGACGAGCTTCTTCGAGCTTTGTCTCCAAATCACTGACACGCTTGACCAACTTCTGTTGTCTTTGAAACTCCTTTCTTGACGGAACCTTTCTTACAGATCGAGGATCTTCTGGAAAGGCAGGTCGCGACAGCCACTCTCTACTCGTCATATTTCTAAGGTTCGACATCGATGGTGTCTTTCGGTGGAAAATACTTCGAGGAGTCGAAGCATCAACAGGGGCAGATATCTTAGAGCCGGGGCTGTCGATATAAAAGTCTTGAGTACTGGCATTGAGTCTACTCTGCCTCTTATCTCCCAAGGGCAAATTGTCTCGGGAATGGTATTTGTCGTTTAACTCGACTCCAGAATCATGCTTGATTCGTGGCGTTTGATCCATAGAATGCCTGACAGCATCAAAGCCTGGCTGCTGAAAGATTGCACGTTTGCGAAAGTAATTGTCTGTCTTCAATTCGTGGTACATCTTTTCTGCCTTCTCCCTTTGTTCTCGTATCGCTCGTTGTTGAGGTGTTTCCTCCGGAACTTTTTGCGCCTTTGAGAATATCTTCCAGTTGGATGGTTTGATTGACGCTGCAATCTTACTACCGAATCGGAATATGGTTGATTGTCGAGAAGTATCGGAGTTACCTGCGAGCGAGGATTCTGCACCCATGGATACGTTTGAATGTAGCATAAACCCACGAGGCTTTGCCATCTTTCTACCTGGAGTCGTCTGGCCATTATTTCCCATAAGCTCGTCCTCAATGTATCGCTCACGAAGCTCCTCTTCATGGTAAAGGTATGGTATCGGCGGGAGTTTACTGACTTTATCGTTCATACTACCTTCCATAAATCTCGAGGGACGAGATCTCTGGAGAGAAGGTCGACTAGGTTGGGGAGATGCGGTAGATCTTCGACTTCTTTGACTTGTTCGACTTTGAGCGCGTGAAGAGACTCGAGACGGAGGGACAACTGCCTCCTCTGGGACAGGCGCCGACGGCAAAGGCCAATTTTCAGAGCGGTGACGCTTCTCGTCCGGATACTCCTCGTCGTTATCGAAAGCAGGCCTCAAAAAACATCCACCTTCGCCATCATTTCCTAGAATTGTCGGTCGGGCATTGCGATTACTGTACAATCTCTTCGAACCTTTCGAATCCGGTCTCGAGTCAATGGAATGCGTAGCGTCATCGAACGGACTCTCGCCCATGGGATGATCCATTGACTGGCGGCGAGGAGTCTGACAAATGAGAATGTTAGTGACTGATATACCTCGACCATTTTGTTATGATTTTCCTCGGGGCTTGGAAAGGTGCATGTAATCAATTGAGTTTGAAATATGGATCTGAGGTTCTTGTTGAAGACTAACCTTGTAACTCGCCATTGCCAATCCTCAAGTACGGATATTTAACACGGTGACATTGACGCGCTCAAATGAAGGTAATTGCTTGTCGAACTCTACGCAGGAAGAGAGAGCGAGAGAGGAGACGGCGGAGGACGAGACGAAGACGAGGACGAAAAGGGTCGCGAAGAAGAAAGAAGATCGAAAACGAGAGCTGAAATTGAGAGGGGAAAATAAAGGTGATCAATATGATTTGAATATGCACCTCTATTTCCAGATAGCTTGAATAGCGTATCAGAATGTCTTACAAGTCTTCCCAATCCTCGAAGGATTTCGCGCATTAATTGAAATTTGATTCGCAGTGTTTCCTTTTTCTTGTTGATATCAACGTGCAGGTTGCATACAAAAAATGGGGAGTTATAAAATTAGTCTCACCGCTGCATGAACACGCAGGAAACACGTTGTTGAGTTGAGTCAAGAAGGGGAAGGTCGAGTGCAAGTTCAAGTTTTGACTCTCCTTTGAGTAGAAAGTAAACAAAAAAAGTGAGTGGCTAAGGTTAAGCTTAGGAGGTACCTGTAACCTAGTAACCTAGGCAATTTACTAGTATGTCAATAAACCGAAGAACCGTTGCCAAGACATTAGTTTATACACAGTTACATATGGGGATGTATACGCGGTCGATCCCAGCCATTCAATTCTACGCACGTGGAGTTATACATTGATGGATGCGAGAGGTAGGGCGAATTGAAGGATTTCTTCACCAGTTTTATTCACTCGTCATTGTACGGATTGTACTGCTGGTGTTAGCTGTTAGCTGTTAGATGTTAGCTCTTATTAGCTGTTAGATGTTAGCTGTTAGCTCTTATTAGCTCTTAGCTATTAGCTATTAATTCGCTAGCTGTGTGTTGTTGATGTTACCTTCTAGCTGCCATCTACATTTCACCTGTCAATCATCAACTTTGAACTATCGGCTACTCTCTTACGGTCAAAGACGTGCAAACACCGTATCAATACTGTCATGGATGTGTTACATAAATACACATTTATTAGTCTCTAAGAATACACCCAAATCTAACCCTAATAGCTCATATCCACCACCAAATAGCCGTCTTCCACGTTGTCAATCTCCTCGATGATCTCATGCAGGCCATTGTTTATATGCCTAAGTGTGCATGTCGAGCATTAGTTCATTAGTAGTCGTGCTATATACATTGTACCTGCATCGTATCTACAGTAACGGCTTCAGCCCTGAAATCCATCGGGCCAGCTCATCTGTGGTCCGGAAAACCTGGGGGAGAGGCGGAAAATTCAGTCCTGTATCCTTAAATGAGTAGATAATTATGACATATATTCACAGATTATAAAATAGTTGATCATATTTACTCTAATGTTCATTCTGCAAAGTTCTCCAATTTTAATCTTTTTATTTCATATAGGTAGGTAGGTAGGTAGGTAGGTAGGTAGGTAAGTAGGTAGGTATTCAACTCTATGCAATCCCATCCCATTCCATTCCATTTCGTTCCATCCATCTCATTCAGGAAAGGAGTCTACTTCTCTCATCTCCATTTTCAAGTCCATAAATTACAGGATTGTTTTCTCAGCCCGCTACCCCTCATCTCATTCATCCATTGCAAATTTCCCACATGTGCTCAATATACCAACAAAAGAAATACAACGGTATCAGAAAGTCAATGTTTCCCACCATCTAGATATCATAAGGAGAAGTGCCATGTATGCTTTTCCAGAAGCGTGCGAAAATACGTGTAAACAACACCATCGCGAATCGTGTAGAAAAAGAAATGTAAAAAGTTGGAGGTATATACATACCCATCAAATTGGTATCGTAAAAATCAGCTTCAGAATCGTACGTTGAAAAAATGGTGTAGAAAAAGTTCAAAGGCGTGCAGAGAAAACGTCAATCCGACGCCTTTTCTATAAAAAAAATCGTGACTGACGCTGTTGCTGAAGACTTTTTGAGCTTGGTGCAGTTTAGTTGAGACCGGGGGCGGGTTTCTGGTGAATGTTGCCATCGGCTCGTCTATAAGTCATTTGCTGTTCGGATCTTTCTTCCTCTTCGTCTTCTGCAGAAATAGCACTTGGTCGTCTACCATTGAATAATGATTCAGTAGGATCACTGAAAACCTCATTGTAGCTTCTCTTATTAGTCGACTTTGATGGCTCCGCCTCGATGGGAGCATATTGACTGTAAGACCCAGATCTCTCCAACTTGTTGTAGTTGTGGCTTGATATTGGCGCTGAGTTTTGCGTCCCACGTGAAATAGTCGTTACCGAAGCAAGAGGAGACATGGCTGTAGACTGCTCGCCTCTCAGTGGTGCGAGAGCGACAGAATCCTGATAGCTGGTCGAGTATGCAGAAGGAGGATTGCGGCTATAAGCAGCCTCCATTGATTGTTGATTATAAGCTTGGTTCTGAACAGCAGGGGCGATTGGTTGAGGGCCTTGGGATGCAGCAGAGATCTGATATCCAAAGGACATTCTTCGGTAGTCTGGTTCATACGATTGCTGATGAGGAGGGTTTGTGGAAGGACGAAATTGGCTATATGAAGATCGCCTCTCATCAAATCTAGTAGGTGCAGGAGGTGGACCTTGAGGAGGTTGCTGACGAAATTGTGTCGATGGGCCTTGATTAGGGTGAGTAGCTGGCACTGGCTGTGGATAGGATGAGGGTGGAGGCGGTGGTGGATGTGGAGGTTGGATACTCGGAGCAGCGGCGTAGCCAGGTCCATTCGGTATCCAGCCAAGGTGGTTACCACCAGGAAGAGAGGCGTTGGGTGTCGATGGAGAAATTGAAGGCGTACGGAATGGGGTAGTTACAATAGGCGAATGATATGGTGAGCTTTCTCCTGATCCACGCCTCTGTTGTGGATCCTCATGAACGCTTGTACTCAGAGCTCTTTGCCTCGCAGCTTGGATGGCATAATCAAATGGTGGAGATGTAGCTCTTCCTTGCTGATATTCATCCTCTTTTTCACCAAAGTCCCCTCCAGGCTTTGTATCTCTTCTTCTCATCCTCACGTCACGTCTAATACGAACACGGCAACCTTGTTCCGCTACAGTTCTGCTCAAATCAGTGCTTTCGGAAAGGCCAGGGAATTTCTTTGCACTGTATACAGTGAATTGATCAGATTTGAGTTCCATGCGCCAATCAAAAGACGATTCGGCAGCGGCTGCAGCGCTCGACATCTTTCGCATGCTTGGATCGTTCGAAGGTTCGATGTCGGTATCCTTCTCCTCTTTTGTTTCCTCGTAGAGATTGAAGCTCAATTTGTATTGGCCCTCGTGTCGAACAGATAAATCGGGGAAAATGAAATATCCAGCTTCATTGGGTCTATCCAAGTAGGCCATTCCAGACACTGGCATGCCCGTCAAAACGGGTGCTTGAGGAGCCGAAGTTTGTACACGACCTTGAGCAATATTCCGAGCTACCTCCAAAGTTGCGAAGAGGAAGAAGTTTGCATTGTAGTGGAATGTTATCTCCTTTTCTTGTCGAGGATCGGTTTCATCATAAATGCGAAGTTGAACGACGGGAGGAGGGTCGACTGGACGTCGATCGGCAGATGCTAAGAACGGTATCAGTCTCCGCAACAATCATTTGGCCTTTTCACTGAAAGAAAGCCCAACATACATTTTGCTCCCGAGCCACATGCTCTCGCACGCTCAGGTTGTTGAATCACAGTCAACGTATATTTCAGTTTCCTCCCCCCTTTGGTCGTCCTCGTAATTATTTCAGGCATGCTTTTAGGACCTATAGACGCAGCCATATTGGAGTCCACACTCCCTCTAAAATGATTTGAAGCGATAGAGATATTTCGTTCAGCCATTGGTGCCGACTTTCAACAAAATTACAATATATGCTATATTCTCGTCGTTAGCCTTGAGCCATTCAGCTTCCAGTGACCGGGAAGTTAATTCTTGGTCCCGACACCCAGTTTAATGGGTACATTATCGGAAGGTTAAAGTAAGGAAGCGACCATGCGTTATCGAGTCAGATGCGTACCTAGATATGTATGTTTCAAACTTCTGCTATATTTCCGAGGCTGGAATTAATCGTGAGGAATGCTGTAACTTCAGAAGTTACCAGACGAAAGAATGAATTGTTTTTCTCAAATGCTTTCTCTTTGGAAGGGATGTTGAGATCGGAATGGCCGTGTTGATGGTTGGCTACCATTCAACATAAGCTAGAAAGCTCAGGAACGCTTAGGTTGGTAGGATGGTGAGGATGGTAATCTGCCAATGTTCCCGATGCTTCGAAGCGGAGTGTGGGTGTAGTAATCAATAAGGATATCGACAAAGATGTTCTGTATTTTCTGACTGCCTCTTCTCAATCACTTCAAGCCATTCATTCCCTATGGAGTCGTCGATGAGTGAGTGATGTCGAGTGAAGTCGAGTTGGTGTCAAGTTTTCGAGGAGGAAGAAGAGATACAACAGTCGAGAATTAACTATCTATCTTCTGCACGACCAAGATAATAGTCAGGAATTGCTGGGTAATCCCAATCACAATCCTAGCCAGTTCGAGTTCCACTTCCAGTTCCAGTCGCTATTATTCCCGGTCCACAAGCAGGGCCCATTAATCAATCGAAAGGGAGGAGAAAAGCTGTGCCCTGTTGCTTGTACGATCCCCACGAATTTTAGTTCATTTACTAGCACCAGAGACCAATCCAAAGGGCCCGAGTGTATTCCAGTCTGCCACTGCCAGAGCATTGAGGGAGTGAGGGTCGTGATCTTGTTTGCCCGCTTTTGGCGTGGTAATGTAATGCAACACACTCTCACGGGGGCAGTCAGTATCACACACAGCACTATATTATATGTAGCACTATCCAAATGAAGGTTCCAAAGGTTGTGTTCAGCAGAGTGGAAAGGCTGGATCGGAAAATGACTGGATGACAAACTACCAATGGCGCACATATTGATACATCCTCCGTGCTCTGTCTCTACAAATACATACATGCACCCTTCAATTCCATCTCAATGTTACAGCTTACAACTTCCCTGGGTACCTATTTCACCAATCCAGGGAACAGGAAAATGACTGGAATTCGACCAAGCATGCATTTGACAGGGGACGTGACAGGCTGGACAGGCTGGACAGGCTGGATGACAGGGCTTAAGTCGTTTGGGCTCTCCAATGCTCATTCCGTTACCCAGCCTGAAGGTAGTTCGCGCCAATAGTTTCTCATCTTCCCTGGCACGCCTGGCCGTCCGTATATTCTTTCCTCTGCAATGCGACGTACACCATACTACCATACCCGTGAATCAAAAGCAGTATTGAAAGACATTGCTATATAAAAAGAGCATGTGCACCTTTCCCTCGTTCTGAAAATACGAATGCAAAGTCATTCATTCCGTCTTTCTTGCATTGGCATCATTCTATCGTTCGTATCTTCAACCGTCAACCCAATTTTCGTATCTTTGGGTATGAAACTTCCTGTCTTTCCAAAATCTCCTTCCTTTTTCGCCCACTCCAGCATTTTTTTGTCTCAGCCGAGATCGATGGTCATTGGTTTGATGATGCGAGTAGCGTAGATTTGGTGGTGCGGGTATTTAGATTGACGGCTACACGGCCTGGTCAATGGTCAGCGAATCCACTATGTCAAACCTTGTTAGAAGATAGGAAATCTGGTTGACGGTAATAATAATAACACCCCCATGATAATTCTAACAATCTCAGCGGCGGATGCTGCATTTGTGGGAACCAAGAAGGAAAATATTACCCAAAATAAGTTGAGGAGAATGAAGGGGTATCGCATAAGCCGTGCATCAATATCTCGTCTAAACCTCTGCATTTCTTGGGAAACGTTTAAATCTCGAAGCATTTCCGATTAGTTTGCTTCCGGAGTGTCAAACGATTAAGCTTTCATCCAAAGGAAGATAGGGTTCAGCATTCTTTCATTTTCTTTGTACTCTGTAATGGAATACTCGTTGATTATTTGCTGGTTAGACTAAGTTCGGTGCTGCCATGTTTCGATTGATGGATGGCAAGTAGCATGAGCAGATCCTTCAGCTGCTTTGAATGAATACTTCTGAGTCAATTGCTCGGTATGTATTTGCTTCTCTCCAAAGTTTCAATCCAACTCCTCTGTAGAACTCCGTGAGAGATCTTGAGTCATTCATTCATTTGAGAGCCTACTGTTCCTTCCTGGCGCCCCTAGCCCGGGTAAATCCAATAGGACTAAAGTAAGCATCATACGATTAGCTACGCGGGAGGCTAGTCCTCAAAAGAACTTGCATGCCACGGACATGTACCCCGATCGAGGTATTCAGGAATGCGCGGGACAGAAATCCACAATTCCATGATCAAAAATCCGGAACCTACTTTACTCGAACCGGTATTATTCGTCTCCCTTCCGCTGGCGTCACCAATCTTCTATGCCCCGCCCGGGCAACGATCTCCACGAATCCGACCAAATGAATGAATATTTAAATGACTTGATTGCGACAATTGCGATGATTACCCGTGATGAATCCTTAAATCAATTGGATGTTATGATCACCACTCAGCTTTCCAAGATGTGCATACCAAAGCTCAATCTAATCTGCAAATAATAATGCTTATTATGTGATATAGTCTGCTAGTCTTCCGCAATATCCACTTAATCCGAAGTCCGTCAAAATCAGAATTCACTTAAGAGAGGAGGTTTCGGGTCCTTGAATTCCAGTCGTTTGGTAAATTAGACATGCCGAATCCTGATGCTGATCACCATTGGCCAGCACTTGCAATACCTACCTACGCTTAACTACCTACAGGCTACATAACATCGGGATCACGGAGGGTATCGGCTCTCTAGTTCTCTTACACTTGTATCGTGCCGAAGAAGTCGCGGACAATTAGCAACGAAATGAGTATCTATTCCTGTGTTATCGCGTGCGTGGGGCACAAAAAGTAAAGAAAGTAAAGAGAAACTATTTGATCCATGTTCCATTCCATTGCTCTGGGAAGAAATTAATGGCTTGACCACCAAATGGTCTGAGAAAAAGGAATCTACGGAGTAACTTGGTGTTTCATGGATGAAGGATCTTTCTTAATCCGTAAAGAGTCCAAAGACGGCAAAGAGGTTGGGGTAATACAACCGTTTAAAATCCAAGATTTATTCCCGACAGACATCTACCTACTCGAGCTATGTACTTACTATATACACTTACACTTTACCCGATATCGACCCGACTCAAATGTACGGAACAGATTTTTCCATCACATAACATCACAATATCAATTAGCCAATTAACTAATTTCTTACTCTTCATTTATCGACTCAAAAATAATGCTTGCCAACATGTGCTGTAATATTGGACTTATTGGACTCCTCCCCTTGAAATCCAAGCCTCGCTCAGAAGCTGGCATGGCATGGCATGGCATGGCATCCTAAATGCCGGCCAACCCATCATCGGAACCTGTCAACGCAGTGCAGAAATTTTCTTTGGATGTTGGATCACATTCTAGTCCTACCTCGTTACCAAAATAATGCACGTCCACCCCATTGGTTCACATTCTGGAAACCGCAGCAGAGCAGGTAACACGCCACAATGGACCACCGACCATGGTGGTGGGAAACTGTCTCGGGAGCTTTTCTTTTTTGTGCAGTGTGCGAAAGGCTTGATCCTCCAATAACATCGGGGTGAAAGCGCCTGCTCCGCTTCTGTTGCATGCATACGAGACTGGGGTTCCCAACTATATCTCATAGCAGTCCGTCTCGCTTTTGGACGAACGCCACTCAAATGCATATCACGAGTGGCACAATTATCTTCCTTTGCATTTGTGGTGTGGTAGTATCGAGCCAGAAGCTGGCTTTTGTGGGCGCAGTCTGTGGCGACTCATCGTCTTTTTGGTCGGCCGGTAAAAGTTTCCAGCATGACCCATTCATTGATCAATATCACAAAACCCTAGTCGCAGATTGCACGGTGGTTCAGATCTAACCAAGATCGCCAACTGCCGTTCTCGTCATTTACCATCATTCATATACTGCTCATCTGATTTGCTCGCGTGCCCTGGGTCAACTGTATTGTCCACAGGGCTGCATTGTTCTTGCTGGTATTTGGAGGAATCCATGTATCTTATCACCAGGCATTATATGTTTATATCGATTTAATGAATTAATTTCGCCTTGAAAGGTCTATCCCTCAAGGTGAGAATAGCGAATCAAGCTTACCAAATATCGATATGGCCTGGCGAGAATCAATGATTTGCTGAAACCGCTAAGCGCCTTCCATCTATCTATGGCGGGCTTACCAGCTGCTCAAAATTTCAAGTTGGTAGCCATGGTACATCTTGAGTACTTCCATAAGCGTCACATATCGTACGTTTATAATAAAGTTGGGTTTCACAACATGCATCGACTGTGTCACCAGAAGATGATTGGCATTGGAGCTGAGTTCTTGTTGACACGTTGAACTACCAAAGAACGTGCCGTATCATTTGACTCTTTCATTACTCTTAATTTACATCCTTTCCATCTAATCAGCGAAAACAAGCTCTGTCAGATTTTATTCAAGGGAAAAACTCGTTTTTTTCCATATTCATCATGCCTATTTCCGTCGGACTTGAGAGGAAAGTTTTGATCCCATACTTGTGGATATGCAAAGCAAGTCATTTCCAACCTGCTTTGCTGTATCCACCCGCGCAACTACATCTGAATATTCCACTTGCATATTCATGCTAACCTCAGCTAATCCCCCACTCGTTGAATGCCAGCATTTGAAACCGTCTTGTTAATCACCTCATTCCATGTCCATGTTGGATTCTTCCCCTATTACTTTTAATCACATCAGACCACTTCATTTCTCAGTAAGTCAGATACCTGTTTGGCGAAGATTTGAAAGTTAAGATCTTCGAAATTCAATACTGAGAATCGTCATCCGAACTGAAAAATATGTCATATCAATCTCGGCCACAGTATTTCGGGAATTTTGGAGCAGCCACCCGTTGTTTTTCAGGCTCGGTGCGTGTGGTCAGGAACCACACGGGTAGTCGCTGCTGATACTATGGGCACAACGTGATTGTCACTGACACTTTGGTTGGTGCACGAGTGACCGGATAAGTGAAAGGCAATATTTAGTGTTGTTTTGCCTCTTTCATCATCTAGGAATGGCTAAAACGAGGGTGATCACGATCCTTACCGAGAAGGAGTTACAAAGAAGAGATACTGCAGATGTTCCGATGTTTTACTGTTTTGGTTCAATTCGGGTGTCGAAGCCGAACTACTGCTTGTGTTCAGTGTTCTAGGAGGATTAAATCCGAAAATTCCACGCTGAAATCGATTAGTCTTGATTATAAAAAGCCCGGGGCGAACAACATCAATGACATGGGTAAGATTCTCATTTTCTTACTGCAAGAAGGTCCTCTACAAGTTGAATACTGTCAATTGCTAATGACATTCTCAAGAATGGTTACAATGTCATAATAGCAAGTAAGTTGAGATGATTAGCCACTACATACTTCAGAAGATTCATTGAC